AGAGATTGGTACCTATTTAGCAAGATATGATACTATATGAGTCCAGTGACGTTACTGATTCTGAATGCCAAATTGAAGATAAGCAAATCTTCAATGATTTGGGAAAAATCCAGGTCCCATCTCAACTCAATTCCAATTGATGTTTAACTAGTCAATTAACCGAAGGCTTGTTCGATGCTTCTATTAATGCTTCGGCCTTCCAAGACTGGGAAACTCTAGCTTTATGGCAGTTTTTCTGACTAAGCCTCAAAAGTAGTGCACAAGGCGGTTTCAAACACGGCTTTCAAGGTATCAGGGTGTTTCATTCCCGATTTTCCGGCTATCAGAGGTTCTTTTGTGTTTGTCAACAACCTCTGAGGAGCTAGTAAAAAGTACTTTTCTTTTCTTATAAAAAACTTATTTCCGTGTCTTATTTCCATCATGGCTGGCTTTTTCTGAAATGTTTTAGGGTGAGTTATACAGCTAATAAAAATCCAACTGCCATAGGTAAGTGTAACTCAATACTTGGCCAGTTGCGCTCTAATGCCACTCACCATTCAAACGCAAAAAATAAAGGACAAGCTATCTTTTCATCTTTTTGCATGCGCGGTCAAATCATCACTCTTATCGTAAAACTTCAATTTAGTTCCTGCTTAAATTCAATTTAGAGGGAATTATCCGACTCTGTACCTTCCGTCTATGTTTTTGCACAGGTGAGGCTTACTTTTTTTGAGACCAACAATTTTCAAAAATGTCAATTTTGTCTGTTTGTTTTTTTGTAAATTATGTACCCTGTTCCTTGTTGGCTAACGTTAAAGCTAAGTTGGAATATAAACAGTAGATTTGTTAATTCTGCACTTTTCTTCTTCCAAAGTGTTCCACTTCATTGAACGAGCACTGCATCTTTGTTAACATCAGTTCATAATTTATTGATTTCAATATCCAATAATCAATTTTTAAATTTAGTTTTGACAATTTAAGCGGTTGTTTACATTGGCGTTGTATTTGCATTAAGTTAAGACAAGGCATGAGTAAAGGTCTCAGAATGGAAACGACAGAGGGAAACGATTTCTTCGCGGGTCGGGTTGCTTGACTTATATTTTGACTTTGAAAGTCGACCAAGTGCAATTTTGCTACTGAAATTAAACGGTCAAGAAGTAATTTTAATTCGAGCATTAAGTCAAAACCAACCTTATTTTGTTCAGAAAAGTCAAAACATAGTTCGAAAAAGTCAAAATATAGGTCGATAAAGTCAAAACAAACCCAATTTTGGTCGAGAAAGTCGAATAATACGTTGAGCACAGTCGAAAGATAGGTCGAGCACAGCCGAAACATAGGTCGAGCACAGACAAAACACAGGTCGAGCACTGTCGGAACATTGGTCGATCATAGTCGAAACATAGATAGTGCACACTCTTAATATAAAGTCGAACATTAAGTCAAGGGTTCAAACACAAATTTACAGCATGGTTTGAACTCAAAGTCCTAACATAAAGTTGAATACAAGCAAAACTTCACCAAGAATTTGATTTGATTGTCGGATTTTGTAAGACAGGTGCAATTAGCAAAATAATCTAGTATATATGTATTGTTAAAGTTCAGTTAGCTAGAAAAGCATATTTGAAGGCCTGCAAATCATCTCAAAAATTAATAAGTTTTTTTTGTCAACGAAAAGGACGGAAAGCTGAAGAACAGCCGAATGAAACAATCAGTCCTCAACAAATGACCGCCGTCAACTTATTATAGCAATTAATCAGATTGAGAACCTTAGCACATACCCAGTTTGTAGAGAAAGTCGAAACAATTCTATGTGGGCAGAAACTCCAGAAAGTAGAAACATATCGAATTTTGGTCGAGAAAGTTGAAACGCATCCAAACTGGGTCGAACAATGTCAAACATTTTTTTGGGTCGAATGGAAACATACCAAAATTGGGTAGAAAAAATCTAAACCTACCAAAACTTAAACGGACACAGCTACTATTCGAGAGGCACTGCAGCTTCCTGAATTCAGTGTAGACTTTGATCTGATTTAAGCAAATCCAAAGTTGATTATGTTGAGCACGAACTTGAAATCGATTATAATAAGAAAAAAATGATTATATTGAAAAACAAAGTTGGATTTTCATCGATCATAATGGATGTGAGATGGGTCAAACAAATTTTTTTAAAAAATGTTTTGTTCAAATCTTTGTGGGGTCAGAAAAAAACAATCGAAGGAAGCAAATTTCAAATAATTGTAGGCCGAAAAAGTGCACAAAGTCGAAACATATCAATTTTTGGTCAAGAAAGTCGAAACGTATCTATGTGGGGCCAATTAAACAAGTTTTCAAATTTTGAAAATTGTCGGTCGAGAAAGTAGAAACATATCGAATTTTGGTAGAGAAAGTCAAAGCAAATCTTTTCAGCGTCGAACAGACGAAGTTTTGAAAATGTCGGTCGAGAAAGTCGAATATTATCTGAACTGTGTCGAATACAGTCGAACAGTTTTTTGTTGGGTATAGAAAGTAGAAACATATCGAATTTTGGTCGAGAAAATTGAAACATATCTAAGCTGGGTCGAACAATGTCAAACATTTTTTTTGGGTCGAGAAAGTGGAAACATAGCAAAACTGGGTAGAAAAAATCTAAACATACCAAAACTTAAACGGACAAAGCTACAACTCGAGAAGCACTGCAGCTTCCTGAATTCAGTGTAGACTTTGATCTAATTTGAGCCAATTCAAAGTTGATTATGTTGAGCACAAACTTGAAATCGATTATAATAAGAAAAAAACGATTATATTGAAAAACAAAGTTGCATTTTCATCGATCATAATGGATGTGAGATGGGTCAAACAAGTTTTAAAAAAAATGTTTTTGTTCAAATCTTCGTGGGGTCAAAAAAAAAACAATCGAAGGAAACAAATTTCAGATAATTGTAGGCTGAGAAACTGGAGAAAGTCGAAACATATCAATTTTTGGTCAAAAAAGTCGAAACCTATCTATGTGGGGTCAAATAAACAAGTTTTCAAATTTTGAAAATTGTCGGTCGAGAAAGTAGAAACATAACGAATTTTGGTAGAGAAAGTCAAAGCAAATCTATTCAGCGTCGAACAAACGAAGTTTTAAAAAATGTCGGTCGAGAAAGTCGAGAAAGACTAAAACTATCTGAACTGTGTCGAATATAGTCGAACAGTTTTTTGTTGGGTATAGAAAGTCGAAACATACCGATATTTGGTCGAGAAACTCGAAACGTATCGAATTATGTCCGATAAGTCGAGACACCAGTTTTTGGTCGAAAAAGTCGAGACATAAATCGAACACCTCAACGCCGGGTTGTTCAAACCCCCCCCCCTCGTATTTTTTCCGAGGAGGTACGAGTATCATAAAACTTATCCACGTATTTTTGTTGACTGTGAAAGTTACAAACAAATCAGTCAATAAAGTTTTTGTGTTTTGTCTGGCTGGCTACCGATACTACGACGGCGGATTAGTATCGATTTTTAGAAAAAAAAAGATTCGCTCAATTTATATACCCCAGGCTTAATCATAAACTTCCTTCATTTATCAACAAGTGACTGAATTCTCAGCCTGAGTTAGTATGCACTGTCCTCTCCGGAGGTGAGTTCAAAATGCTGCAATGTAATTTCAATATGCTAAAATGTAATGCATGTATTTTGATTATGCTCATTCAGGTCATCGTTTGTTTTTATTTTTAGGGCTAGCTTTGAGTGGAAGTGGCGCTCTGTATCTCTGTTCTCGTAAAGATGGCGTGAGCCAGCTGAGTGTGATTGATAAACAAAATGGAACAGTAGTGAGGACACTGGATACTTCGCAAGCAGACAATAAATCTTATTGGCAAATTCACACTCATGAAAATGTGTTAATGCTGGTAGAGCGGACAGCTGATCAATACAAATGTGTGCATGTGTACGAAAATGAAGTATATACATCATATACACTTCAGCTTCTCATTAAGACAGATAGATCAACAGTTTTGTGCGGAAGAGACTATTTATTACTGCGTACAGATAAATCCACACTGGCAATAGTTGATCTCAACCAGTCTGGATCTCAAGCCAAGTTCAAATCAATCCAGTTGGGTCAAATGGAATATATCGCTTCATTAGTGTGGATAGCGAGAGGAGATGAGGAGAGTGGAGAAGGATATCTATTTGCATCAGTAGCTAAAGGTGATGCAAACAATTCTCATGTGTATGAGTTGAATGTGAAGAGTGTTGTGAATGGTGCTCTACTGACACCACTGCAGATCCCATTCATGAACAGTTACGGCTCTAGAAACGTTTTCTTCGAATGCGCAATGGGAACAGATGCTGTTTTATGCTCAGATTTATGCGGCAAACAGAGGTCCAAGTACAAGAATTATGAACGTCCAATGAACATTTTGAAATTGGAGAAAATCATCCATCGATGAAAAGAGTTGGAAAGCAAAAACAAATACTTAATGGCATCAAACCTAGATGCAATGTAACATCAAATTGAGTAATAATTATTTCAATAAATTGTTATTTTCCCAACCTACTCAGCACAACAGTTCCTTTGATGCAAAGTAAATGAACTATACCCTGAAACAAATCACAGAATATCTATATTCAATCATGTCATTTTCATGAGAGATTTTGTTGCAGTTTAGTCGGTCTTAAAAATAAACTCCCCCAAAAAGTTTAAAGTCATATCACTCATATTTAAATTTTTCAGTTTCCAGTTTTCGTTGCATATTTTCATGCATGGTTAAACGAAATACAATTAATCAGGTAAGACATCAACGAAAAATCACAGATTTTTAATTTTGCGCGCAGTTGTGAACAAAAATATTAATGCCAAGCTTAAAATAACTCATGAAAATAACTCATTTATACGCCATTTTAAATGTGTGCTGCATTTAACGAATGATCTTTTTGTAGCATTTTGTATTATAAACTAACGAATATTTTGTAATTAAAATGATGATTAAACTGTTCATTTTCAAGTTTTGAGCATATTATTTTGTATTTTTCTACGCTTATACCTTTAAAACGTTCAATACTTTCAAAACTAAGCTTATAACTTTTAAAAATTCAAAAACTCGCCACTCAATACTTCTGTCTGATTAAACTTTTCATTTAATTTAACAGTGTTATTTAACTGAGTTTCATTATTCATAAACTAAAAACTGCAGCATAATATTTAAACTTCAAACTGGTTTTGACGGAGATGGCTCAGTCTCGAACTCGCAGTTTCACTGCATCCATGGAGAAGCGTAAGTCGTTTACAAAATGGGCAATTAGCTTTCTCTCTGAACTCGTGAAAGCTTTTTCTGCTTTCCTAAATTCGCAAGCGTTTTCAAAAACTTATGTTTTCGTAGAACAAAATTTTAAGCTTAGTCGTTTTTCAAGCAACGAGTTCGACAAAAAGCGAACTATTTTTGCTTTGTTTTAATGAGATAACAATCAAAACTCGATAAATTTGTTGCAATTGAATGAAACAATGCAATTGAGAAGTTTTCATTTCTTCGGGGTTAATTCCTAGCTTTTAGAAAAGTTTATTGATGCTTCAAGTAAGCTTATTCAGGTCGTAAACACAAAATATTCAATTTTCGCCTGCAAAACTGGTGGTGCTTAGATAATTTTGTTCCAATTTTCGAAGAACAAACGTTATTGATGCATGGGGTGACTCTTATTCAATCATTTTCCTAACTGAGAGTTTTTTCGACTGAATTTTTTGTGCCATTCGAAAAACTTTGTTTTCCGGAGCTCGGATCTTATGCACAAAATTGCCCAAAATCAGTATTTCTGCAACCTTTTGAACTCAAAAAAATACGGTTGAATCTGATTCGCTAATCAGACACTCAAACTCAAACAACGTTGATCGGCATTTCAATTAAAATTTCCGGCAGATAAAAGTGTTGGCCGAAATAACCAAAATTATAAAAAACAATTCCGCTGAATCTATTTCTCGTCCGGGCTAAATTACCCAAATTACTTGAAGAAAAAATATATTTAGACGAAGCGTCACATTTTGGTAACTTCGGCTATATTTTTATCTGTCGGAAGTTTTGATTGAATTGCCTGAACAAGTTGCTTGAATTTGAAAGCCAACCAGATTCGACTGCTTAAGGTCGACTTTTGGGCCGTTTTGTGCATACGACTCCGGAGCTCAAATGGAATTTAAAAAATAACACCTGTGATCATTTTTGGTAACGTTATGATGGCTCAAAAATTGCTTAGTTGGGCAATTTGGGATAATAAGCGCGCGATATATGCGTTCTTCTAGGGGGCGTTTAACAGTGCCGAAGTACAACAGTGCCGAAAAAGGCGGAAAATTTCAGAATAATTTTAACGCATTTTCTAAAGCGGGAAATTACTGACGCTAATTATCAAAAAAAATCACTCCAATTTTGGCGCCAAAATGTCTGCAACTGCAAATTAAACAATTATTTTGGGGCCAAAACGTCTAAATTGCAAATTTTCTTGCTCAAAATCTTTAAGTGTCACCGTTGAATTTTTGATTGCCGCACTTAATATGTAAAAAACTTGTTCAAATTTTCGGCACTGTTGAACAAAGTTTTCATTTTCGGCACTGTTGAACTAATGTTTATTTCGGCACTGTTGTATTTCGTCACTGTTTTACTGCCCCGTTCTTCAAACACGCATAAGCGGCGTATTGTTGCGTTCCAAAAGATAGTGAGACAAATAACTTAGTCGTATTAATAGGATAAATTACGTTAAGTTCAGCGCTCTTTAGGGTGGCCAGTCAATAAGCAGAATGGTCTAAGAGCAGAAGGGGTCCAACAGCAGAAAAAGAGAAAAAAAATCAACTTCTATAAGCTAATCGGTAAATTAATTATCAGAAACGTCAATCATAGCAAAGCAACGAACATTTCATGCATACCATGAGCAATTTAATCAGGAATTTAAAAAAACTTGAAGTGAATCAAAAACTTGAAGAAAATAGTCAATTCAAGCATAGTTCATTCGTGTGCTTGTTTTTTTTTACGATTCTAATAGTCATTTTATCAATTAGCCCATATAAAACAGTAGAATTCAATTTTTTTTCTGTTTTTCTGCTTGCTCTTGGACCCATTCTGCACTTGGATCACTCTGCTTATTGCTCCGCTTCCGCACTTAATATGTAAAAAACTTGTTCAAATTTTCGGCACTGTTGAACAAAGTTTTCATTTTTGGCACTGTTGAACTAATGCTTTTTCGGCACTAATATATTTCGTCACTGTTTTACTGCCCCGTTCTTCAAACACGCATAAGCGGCGGATTGTTGCGTTCCAAAAGATAGTGAGACAAATAACTTAGTCGTATTAATAGGATAAATTAATAAAATAAATTAGGATAAATAAGTAGTGAGAGGATAATTCGTAGAAAACAAGCATCGACCGTACGATCACCCTAAGTGATCTACCGTAAATTTTCTACCCAAGCAAGTTTCAATTTTTTAAATTATTTCGGTATAAATTATGCATTTAATACAATTGCTCTAATTGTAACTATATGTTGAAGTTTTTTATTGAATTTGAATTTTATTGAGCTACAAAACAGTTAATTTGAGGTTTTAATTGTTTTCCGATAATTGAATATTGAATGTAAGTGATATAAATTTCTCTAAAATGATATTTTGATAGTTTTTTTTCATTTTTTCCCCCAAATCGATTTGGGGAATTTGGTATGGTTGATCCAAAAACGAAAAAAAAAATACAATTTTTTTCTTCTTTTTTTCCAATATTTTGTCGTTTTTTCAAGCATAAAACTTTTAAGTTGGCCTTAAAGGGCCACCCGAGCAGTCAAAACTTCCATTAACATCCAGACAGTCTTGTTTTGGATTTATTTTTGATTGATTGTCAATAAAATGAAGAAAATCTGTTGCAATTAATTATTATCACCGTTTGCTAAGATACTATCGGGTTGGCGCAAATTTGCTACGCCCAATTTATGAAATCACGAAAAGTAAATTTATCAAAGTTAATTAAGTATAATTCAAAAATTTGCTAGAATGATAGATGCAGTTTAGGATGGATGTTTAATTAAAATGAAAGTTGCAAAAGTTTTTATCGATTAAACATCAAAAGCAGCTCTGTTTTCATAAAATATCAAAACTGGCCCCAACTTTATCTTAGCTCCATTTCAGCTCCTTGCAGAACGTAAAATAAACTACAAAAAAACTTGGGACATCTTCTAGGATCAATACGGATACCTCAATTCAATTAGAAAAATCCTCTGAGCCGTTTTTTTTTGCATACCTTACGAGTTGAAAAAAACTTTTGCGAAAATTTTTGCTCGCATTGTTCACGCGAAATCGGTTCAAATAGAAAAAAAATGTTTACCAAAAACGGTCTGTTGTTTTTTGAAAAACGGGTTCAAAAAAACTAAATTGGGAATGTCGCTAATGCTGCTGCTGTGGTTCTGCAGTGTTAATTAAACTTGTTGATGTTTTTAAGTGTGTGGCAGTGGCTTGATTTGAAAGTATGCCCTTTTTTTCTAGCAATCGTTTGTTATGAACAAAAACAATGTAGAATTTAGCTTGAGGGCGGTGGGCAAAAAAACTCTCTAAAAAGAAATTGGCCGGTAAATTCGCATAAAATTCTACGATTAATTCAACCAAACTTAGTCTTCATGCGAGTTGATTTTTGTCAAGTTGAGTAAATAAATAAAATGACTATAAATGGACGCTGCTCAAGTTTCAATCAAAATAGTGTTTTTCATTTTTTCAAAATTGTTATTTTTTAAACCAGATATACTTTTAAGGGTCTATACTAGTAAGGCCCTAGTTAAGCTGCCTGTAAACATTATTTAAATAACCAAAACTTTTTATCGAGGCTGATAGAGATGAATCTATTTTGTCGCAAAAAAAAACAAAAATTTATTCGGTTCCACATTAAAAAAAGTATTGCAACGCTAGAATTTCTTCGAAAAAAATCTCTACGGATCTAAACTGCAGAAAACCTCAATTCCATTTGAAAATCATAGCTTAGATTTTTTAAATCGAGTTTTGCTCCAATTATGACTGAACACTTTTTGATTTCAGAAGAATTTTATTACCCAACGCTTCGCTTCAATTATAACTGAACAATTTATTGTTTCAATTGTGACTGAACAGTTTTTGCTTCAATTGTGACTGAACAGTTTTTGCTTCAATTGTGACTGAACAGTTTTTGCTTCAATTGTGACTGAACACTTTTCGTTTCAATTATGACTGAACAAATTGGTTTCAATTATGACTGAACACTTTTTGTTTTCAAAATGTACGATACATAAAATATCTTTTGCGATACAATGCGTGCAAGTGGGGGGGAATTTTAATTATTTTGGGATAAAAAAGAAAAACAAAGAAAAACTGTCAAAAAAACACAACCAACAATATTAAGTATAATCTTTTATTAGATACCGAGCGGCCAGTAAGCTGGCAAGCCGACAAAAAGTTGGCGGACGCTCATTGAGCTGAAAATAAAAACATGAAATGTGCCACAGGAAGTAGATGTCATAAAAAATTTCAGCAATTAATTTTTCAAACGTTGCAATTTTGCACAAATTGGTTTTGAAGCGCCACAAAATACGGCAAATAAGCCATAAAACATAAGAACATAAACTTAAGCCATTTAGGCCAACCAATATTTTTAATCAAAAATATTTAGAAAAAAACCAAAGAAACTATGCAACGTTAAGACATTAAATTTTACAAGCTACATGAGTAATCAAAAACATATGCATTTACGATGAGATTTGCTGACATTACAAAAATTGCCCGATGTTGGAATTAAGCCAACAATTATCAGCAGACAAACAAAAAACCGACAATTCAAGTTTTACAGGAAAACGATTTCCATTTCATAAATACTGAAAAAAAAGTACAGTCGGGACTCAAAGATCCGACATAAAGTTACCACGGCAACCGAATTACCCCCTTAGGCCAAGGAAGAACGAAACTGAATGCTGTTAGTGTTCAATAAGGAGGCAAGAAAGAAAAGCAAATAAGAACTATACGAAAAAAATTTTGGGGATAAATCTAGTTACTGATTACAATTGTACTCGTTCTCACAAGAAAAATCGTTCTCACAAGTTTAATGATATAGTTCGATTTTGCTTGCTTCAATTAATATTGACTTGGCTTAGCTCAAAAGGTGAGACAATGTTAATGAAAAATAATTTGACTGCCATGATAAACATCTTGCGATGATTGATTCACAATGATGGCGTCAGAAAACAAAAAAAAAGAACTTGGGAAAGAGAATATTTTACAGAGTTCCGTTCAGGAGCGGATCTAGGATTTTATCGAAGAGGGCGGATTTTCAAAACATTTTCAAAAATTTTGACGATATTTTTTTTAGGTCAACCAAATTATTTTCCGAGCTCTCCTAGAGCACTAAAAAGACGGTGTTTTGGCCAAATTTTCTGCGCCGTAGGCAAATTTTTGAAAAAAAAGAGGTCAAAGAAGCCGTTTTTTGGGCACTTTTTGGAATTATTTGACAAAAAAATGTGTTTTTTTTTGCGCGCGCTCCCCCTTAAAATTGAGGGCGTCTTTAGAAAAATTTTAGGGGTTGTAGGAAAAAAATGGATTTCGTAAAATTACCAAAGGGGGGACCTTTTGGGTCGGCAATGGGTCGAATCCCTAAGGGAGCGTCCGCCCCCCCCCCCCTAAATCCGCCCCTGGGAATTGTACATGTTTGTCTATTTACTTCTTATCTAACTATCCGGCCGGTCAAAGCGTAGTCTTCAAACTCATTTCAGCAATCGCAGAAACGAACTTTCATTAACATTAAACATTTAGGGGAAAGAATATTTAGGGGAAAAAAATTTTGACGAAGAAAGCTAATTGAAGAACCCTGCTTTAACAAAAGAACCATTATTTAGAGTTGATGAAAGTTATGCGAGGAACATACAGTGTGTACAAATTTTAAACAAGGCTCAAAATATTTTAAATTTCAACTTGTGTTCAGTTTCTGGTTCTTTGTTTTCAAAAACTGCTTTACTATATTTTGGAGTAGATTTTATGTAATGAAAATTTTCCGATGATTTCCTGTTAGACACAGCAAACACCACTGTTTAACTGACAATTTTGTTGGGGTGCGGAATGTAGAAAACCCAACCAAATATCTAAATTTTTTTCCAAGAATTGAGACAGTCACTTTTGTCACTTTTTTTCTAGATAGCGCGATAATTAAAGATAGCGTTATTTGATCTTCAATTATTGCATTTTCAATTTACTGTAAAAATCAGAAAATAGGCGAGGATTTAAAATACAGGAAAGTATGTATTTTACTTTAAAAAATTAGCAAAGTTAACAATCAAGCTCAAACTTTTTATTTTACTGAAACTCCTAACCTTCTACATTGAGCTCATCCAGATAAAAATTTTATTGAAAACGTGTTTTTGACAAAAAAATATTCAACAAATGCAGTTTACTGCAAATTGAGCTGGTAAAGTCAAACTTTTCATTCCAATAAAACAAAGCAATTTCCTTGTTTTATTTTAGCCTGATTTAAATGCCCCTCACACATTTCGCCCCTCACACGTTTCGCCCCTTTTAAATCTAGTGGCACATCTCGCCCCTCACACATTTCGCCTCTTATGAATTACTGGCACATTTCGCCCCTAAAATGTACATTAAGAAAGCGGCGGTAATTAATTGTGTAATAAGTTAGGTGCGAAACGTGCGAGGACAAAATATGTGAGATTATTAGGGGCGAAATGTGTGAGGGGCGAAATTTGCCACTAAAATTATGAGGAGCAAAATGTGTGTGGGGGCGAAACGTGGGACATCGATTTGATTAGTTTTCCAGTTTAACATTTCATTAAATTATCATTGCAATTCGATTAACACAAACAAACCGGCTGATCTCTATATTTTTCCGAGTTTGCATTGTAATGTAGAACAAAAACTTGCACATTTTAATTGATATCATAATTTATTAGCCAATTTTTAAAAAATGAACTGACTATTTTCGAAGAAAGAGACAGAATGTTTTTGCTCGGGTGGTTTTTCCTCTAGACCAGCTTTGACTTTTTAACTAGCAACTTTTGACAGATTTTTTTTCGTTCGAAAAATTGTGCTCTACTGAGCTCGAATTTTAAAGTTATTTCAGCTGTGAATTTTTATGAAGTCATGGGGGTTTTAAAATTGCCAATTTAGCCAGTTTGGTACAATTAACGAGCGATTTTTTTCGTGCCGTTAACGCGTAAGCGGAGATGAAATCCGTCTTAGAAATTGTTCCAAGGTGAAGCATGCTCATTGGCTTACTTAATACTTTGCTATGTATTTTACTAAAAAAATTAGCAAAGTTAACAATCAAGCTCAAACTTTTTTATTTTACTGAAACTCCTAACCTTCTATATTGAGCTCATCCAGATAAAAATTTTATTGAAAACGTGTTGTTGACAAAAAAAATATTCATTTTGTACTTTACAAAGTGTGTAGGGGGATGCTTTGCATAAAACTCAAACTAATTTTTGAAATTTTTTATTATGATTTCTAAATTCATCAATTATTATAACTTAAAGTACTCCATAAAATTGAAACGCAATTGGAAAATTCAGGGCTTTGTCCTGATACAAACTTTGTTGTCAAAGTTCAATTCGACTGTTTTTGTCTTTTTGTAGGGATGGCAACTATCGATGAAATGAAGAACAGTGATTCTGAAGAGGATAACGGTAGAATCGATTCTCTGACAGGTTGGCCAAACAGTTAATAAACCAATTTTAAAATATTAGAATTGATGACTGTATAAAAATATCGTAATTTGTTCGTTTTGTTTCTAACATTAATTGGAAAATGGAACATAAACACTAACCCATTTTAGTGATTTGATAAATATCTGGCTTACATTTTTCAACCTGAAAGTTAAATTTGGCTAATACTTTCGGGTTGTTTTGTAGATATGCAAAAAATTTCTCGTGAAATGAAGAACAGTGATACTGATGATGATTACGATTATGTTACAGACGATTCTCTGAGCGGTTAGTCATCTAGTTAAATTTCAAACAAAATATCAACTCTAAAATTTAGAACTTTTGACTGCAAATCATATATTTTTTTCCTTTTTGAGATAAATGAGAAGATGCAGCACGACAAATGACTCATTTAATCTGATTTGATAAACTATCAACCTGCAGTCTTCAAAACTGATGTTAAATTTGACTGGTTTTGATTGATTTATAGCGATGGCAACCTTTGGTGGAACAAGAAACAGTGATTCTGACGAGGCTAACAATACAGATTATTCTCTGACCGGTAAGACATTGAGTTATTTTTAAATTAGATTATCCTTTTAAAGAAAAAAAGAATTTTTTACTGCATACAAAGCATGGAAGCACGTAAAATTTCAGTTTTTTTTTCCTGAGATTATTCAGAAAACTAGGCACAAATACTGATTCTTTTAAATTGATCTGATAAAACATTAGCATGCAGCTTCGAAGTTTTCAAATTTATTTTTCTACTTATAGGAATGGCAACTCCAGTTAAAAGGAAAAACAGTGACTCTGACGAGGAGGATAACGTGACATTTGATTCTCTGACAGGTTGGTGATACAGTTAAATTTCAATTAGAATAACAAGGTTGAATCGATAAAATTTATAACTGAACAAAAATATCACATTTTATTATCTTTTTGAAGAGTAAAATGAAAACCAAGCATAACTATTGTTTCACATTGAATAACTCGATTAGCAATTAGAGCTCAGTTTTCAAAATTGATGCTAAAGTTGAATGGCTCTTTGTAGTAGTTGGAACATAGTTTAAAGATGCCCGAGGGAAAAGAGCCCGGCTGCCTGAGGGCACGAAGTGCCCGATGGTGGCTCATTTGCCCGAGGCCATCTTCAACTATGTTCTAACAGTTGAGGAGTATGTTTTACTCTTTGTAGTAGTTAGAACATAGTTGAAAGATGCCCGAAGGAAAAAGAGCCCAGCCTGAGGGCACGAAGTGCCCGTAGGCGGCACTTTTGCCCGAGGCCATCCATCTTCAACTATGATCTAACTGTTGAAGACTAGGTTTTTACTCTTTCTAAAAAAAAATGGCGGAACATTGTGAAAGAGCCCGGAAAAGTGCGCGAAACTATGCAAATGATTTCTTTTTTAATTCATGCGTTCTAATATTTCATTTTTTATTCATGCCTTGTCGTGAAAGAACATTTGTGAAAGAGCAAAAACATACTCTTCTGATGATTTGTAGGGATGGCAACCTTCGGTGGAACAAGCAACAGTGATTCTGACGAGGATAACCAAAGAGTTGATTCCCTGACAGGTTAACTATACATTCAAATTTTAAGTAGAAGATCAAGCCAAAAGTGTTAGAAATTACTACTGCATATGAAACATCTCAAATTGTTCTATTTTTAAAAAAAAAAAAAGATTTAACCGATTTTTTAGATTGAACCGAAAAGTGAGCAAGAAACTTGACTCATTTTGTTTCGTTTAATAAACTATCAGCATGATAATTTTAAAACAAAAAGTAAGCTAGACTTTTCTTTTCTTTATTTGCAGAGGTGAAAACAGTTTCTTGCGAATTGAAGAACAGTGACTCTGACGAAAATATTGTGACAAATGGTTCTCTAGGCTCGAAAGTTTTATGCTCCAATTGCTTTCTTGACCTATCTGGATACAGTACCAAGTTTGTTTGCAATACATGCGATTCAAAACAAAAAACGCCGAGTCAAGTGACGTATGGAAATATAGATTTTAGCATTTTCTATAGATTTTAGCATTTTAGCACCAATCGCGATGCAAACTTCAGAGAGTTAAAATATTAATGCACCTGGGTTGTTAATGCAGTCCAAAAGCTGCATTCTCGGCTAGCTGAGCAAAAATTGTTTTTTTTTCTGCTCGGAGTGAGCTTGCTTTTTTTTTCAAAAAAAATATACATATTCAGTCATCATACCCTTAAGCAATCTATAATCTTTCTCAAAACAAAAAGGCGTTCCAAGTTTGCAAGGTGTTCAAACAGTAACAACGGTTAATTTTTGCAAAATTGAAATGCTAACATCTATAACAGTCCCGCATCCGGGAACTACTACTGTCTGGATTGTATTGCGAAACACATACGAGACAAGGACGAAGTGACAGACCAGAAAGGATCGCCAGTATCTGTGTGTGAAAAACACAAACGGGTGAAATACTTCCTCTGTATTACTTGTGATCAAACAATGTTTTGCATCACATGCACTTTAAATAATCACAAAGCTCATGATTACATTGATTCGATTGAAAAAGAGGAAAACCTTGTTTGTGTGAAAGGCAAATTGCATGAAATTTTAGAAAACCTTGAAATTCTTTACAAGCAATCTGCCGGGTTTTTGGAGTCTTTGAAAGCAGCTGAAGAACAATTTACTTCAATGGTTGAACCATACAAGAACAACATAGTTGAAATCTCCAAAGAAATTCTGATGGACGCTTTAGATATGACTCAAAAAGAAACGAGCGATGTGAAAGACTTGTTTGAAAATCAAAACAAAGAGCTGAGTGAAAGTATGAAACAATTCGAAACTGTTCTAAAAGAGTTTGGTGATTCCCAAAGTTCAAGTCGCGACTATTTGAGTGCATCATCTTTGAAATTTGGAAGCCTGATTTCTGATGGAAATATTGAAAAACTTGTAGAGAAGTTCTCAGAAGAGGTAAAATTACCGCTAGTTTACATCGAACCAGAAGAAATTGATAACTACCACGCTGAAATTCAGCAAGCGCGTGAAAACTTGAGAAAAGATGTGATAGAACTTCTGCGAACTTTTTTGAAGAGTTTTGTTTTCACGAGGATAAGTAAACTGGAAATAGATTTGAATAGTTCATCTAACGGATTCAAAGAGTTCCCCTGCCATAAAGGAGATTTGGAAAACGCTCATGTCACATCAACAAAATATCGATTCAGTTTGGCCATTTTAAATGGCGGAGACTTTAAGCTTCATACTTATACCGACATTTTAGCCACAAAACCCGTAAAACCCTTGGATTCTATCAGCTCGAAGTTTTTTAAGTTCATCCCTGGAGGAGATTACGACTGCTTGTACTTCACCAGCGCAAGTAGCTGCAAAAAATTTCAAACTAATTTTTCGATTAAGTGTCGCGCGGATCAAGTAGGTGCCAGTTTTTCTTATTGGATATCTTCAGAGTTTTGCATCCCAGTCATTGTTTTCTGCCGTTTTTCGAATGGTGATTGGATCACAGACTACGAAACAAGCTCGACACACGCTAATACCAAATCCCTCGATTTTCATCTCAAAATTGTACCCTGTGCCACGAAATTGTACCCGGAACAACCATATGGTTTTGCCATATCCAATGACATAGATGGACAAGATATGACACCAAAAATAGCATGCATATCCAAAAATTCGTTATTTTTGTACTCAGTTTACAGAAATCAGGAAATTGATTTCGGCCAGCGCCCTATCTACTGTAACAGGATGAACAGCAGCGAACACAAAGGAAGCTTTGGATGCGGCTTTTTTTCCCGATGGTTATTTGGAAAAAAGTTTATCTCGCTGGCCATTTGGTGCCTGGAATGTCAAATTGTAGAGGTTATCAAAATCCCAATTGAAGAAGAAAACGATCTACCAAGGCGACCTTTAAATCAAGGGGACACTGAAAGAATCTTTCAATTCAACTTTACTTCGGCGATTCAAAGCATAACAATATTCAAAAGAGGTCTCATCATTATGACTAAAGACGGGAAGTTGTATACATGCGAGAATATTCTGAGCAAAGAGATGCTCTATTTGTACCAGAAGAAAAACTGAATAAAACACGGAGATTGCATGTTTTACCGCCCCTGTTTTCTTAAATCCATTATTTGTAAGTCCCATTTTTTATAGCTTATGATTTAAATCATTACTTGCACCATTTCATAAAATTCAAAATGTAAATAAATCAATCATTGATGTTTTTTTGTAAAAGTTAAACCTGTTTTTGTATCTTGAATAATTAGAACTCTTTGGAGAAAAAGCAACTAAATTAATTAATGTTTCATAAACATTGAAGTGATGATGGCGTTAGGTAACTTAGACGAAAAAAAAACTAAACGAAAAAAAATCAGAATTTTCTCCACAAAATTTTTTACATTTTTCTCTACATAAAACGAAGATAATGAAAAAAGTGAAATTTCTCAATCAAAATTATTTGAATAGTCAGTCAATAAATGCAAAACAATACGAAGTAAGGTCCAAAAAGTCAGTTGATACTGATTCGTTTCGAACAAAAAATGAACTTAAAGAGTTTTTAAGCAACAGTGAAGTAATTATGGTCGTAGAAAAAAGTATGTTTTCTGTTTTTCTGGTTTTTGTTTTTTTTAAGTGTATTAATTCTTTTCCTTAGTTTCTTGGGTTCAATTTTTCTCATTAGCGCTCAAAAAATTTATAATTGAAGACCACTTTCTAATTTTTTTGACCAGTTTTGTGCAAGTGTAGGACCAGTTTCTTGACATAATTGGTGTTTCTTTAGCTTATTAATCTTTGCTGCTGCAATTTTTAACGACATATTGATAAAAACAAACTAATTTTTCTTAAATCATCTTTTAATAGATAAAAAACAGTTCAACGCCAAATGAAACTCAAGTACCACCATTTTTTTGAAACTCAAAGCAAAATTAGGTACCAAGTTAAAACAAATTTACTCGAAACAGGGGCAAGCTTACGTGGTGTGGGGGCGAACACATTCCCTTTTCAGGTTTACGAACACCTGCCAACCCAAAAGGTCCCCTTTTGATACTTTTGCAAAAATCCATTTTTGGCTGACCGACCCTAAAATTTATATTTCGGAGCCTTTGGCGCCATTCTTCACTGATTTTGAGCGCGTCATGAGATTAGAATTTAAATAGGGCCATGAAAAGACAATGTTTTGTCATTTTCTGAAAACAATTGCATGAAAATTTCGTAAGAACAAAACTTTTGCTGGTATTTGCGTTTTGACAATGCTTGGCCGCATTCAAATAATGAAAACACGAAGCTTCCTGGCTGAATTTCATTGAAACGTTTGCTCATATGTTTTCAAATGCTTTACAAGGATAGAAGGAACCATTTCACCCCGGAAAGCAGGCCTCAAGCTAGTATTAGCCAAAAATTCCGCCATTTTTAGCCCTTGACATCAAACGCGAGCTACGAAAACCCTTAAGTTTTTTCAGTTGGACAAAAAGCAGGTATTTTGATGGTTTTCATTTCCGCAGAATCGGTCGCAAAAAATCTGAGATAGTATACTCATACAAGGACAATATTTCCGATGTCTGGTCAGACTCTAATTACAAGGATAAAAAAATTGATACACTTCGGATGTTTTACTCGTAATAAATAAGTTTAAATTGTTAGGTTGTCCGCCATTCAGTTTAGTTCTGAGACTCAAAACGTAATTGAATGGCAAAAAACTATGTAATCTCAGTGTATCTCAGAGTTGAACTATTCGAAATGTCTCCATTTTTTTCCTTGAAGCTAGAGCCTGACCAGACCTCGCAATGATTGTCCTTGTGTAAGTATACTATCTCAGATTTTTCGCGACCAATACGGCAGAGATGGAAACTACCAAAAATGCCTGCTGTTTGTCCACCAGAAAAAACTAAGGGCTTTACTTGCTCGCATTTGATCTCAAAAGCTAAAAATGGCGGAATGTTTAGCTGAGAGTAGCTTGCGGCCCCTTTTCCAGGGTGAAATAGCTCGTTCTATCATTGTCAGTATTGAAACATATATGAGCAAACGTTTGAATGACATTAAGCCAGGAAGGTTCGTTTTTTCATTTATTGAATGCGGCCGAGCTATGTCAAAACGCAAATAATTGCAGAAATTTTGTGCAAACGAATTTTTCATAGAATTATTTGCAGAAAGTTGACAAAGCATTGTTGCGTTTTCATGAATTTAATTTAAACTTCAAATTAGTCAAGACCTCTTTCTACGCCACAGGCAAAATTTTGAAAAAAGCCTCCCTAAATATGCTCCTGCCTACAACCCATTATTTTTGATAAACATTGGTCAGAAACCGCATGGTTCAAATCTCTTATTAATCGCATAGTTCGACGCATAGTTCAATAATCTCGCATAGTTAAACTCACGGTATTTTTTTGCTGTTGTCTCAGAGTTAGCAGAAAATTTTGTTCAAAGCTCTGAATTGCTGTCTCGATAGTTCCATAGTATTTGTTTCCATAGTATTTGTTTACGTATGAGTGCATCAGTCCCGCTGTTTGGTCGTTTCCTACGATATTTTAAGATTTTTGCAATCTGACAAAACCTACTTCATCTGAGGTTCATCAATTATTGCTTGATTTGCTTGTATTGAATGTCTTAAATAATGAAATTTTGTGTTTTTAGGGTGACACTCAGCGGTCCATTTACGTTTTGTTCAAGTAACTTGGAGTTTGGTAATTTTCATTTTCTGGTAATATTTTAAATTTGATCCACGCGTTTTTGTTAAAAATTGTTGTTTAATTTGGAGTTATATGTGTTTTTTTAGCGTCTAACAATTGTAATCAAAATCAGTTGAGACATCTCTCTGTGCTTTGATTTGTAAAAGACCAAAAAAAAATCGTTACCTTATTTCCAAAACTGCATAATTTCGAAAACTTCCAAATATACCCTAATAATTAAGAAAACAAGTGCAAATGCATACCTTTATAAACAAAACGTCTCTCCGAAACAATAGAAAAACGATAAAGCAGATTCAAAACTTTTTATAATTCAATTTTTTTTTGAATTTATGCCCAAAACTTTTGTCGTTTATAACCCAATCAGTTCAGAATCTAGTTTTTGAGATTTAAATTATAGTTATAACAACTTAACAATATAACATTAATTTTTAGGCATGACTGAATAAATCTTATAGGACAAAATATTTCAAATTTGAAACCTCTTCGTCCAAGTTCTACTGCTTTTTTCTAGTGATGTTTGGATTTCGTCAATTTCATTGCCCTCAAAATTGAACAAGATTGCGCTTATCAGGGCAACACCTTGAAATTTTTGACTGTATTTTGTTTTCTTTTGAGTAAATTAAATTAAAAAAAATTGACGAAAATTAATTTAAAAAATTTGTGATGATTTTTCTGATGAACGTTTTTTTATATCAGCGCTATGTTTCAAAATCATTCAACACGCTATATAAAGTAAAAAAAGTAAATTATTTCGCAATTGACACAATGTTACATAGGCCAAATAGCAGGCCCCAGTCCAATTTGAAACTATTTCTTATGCGGATTAAACCTCCGCTTGCGCGTTAATAGCACGAATTATATGGCGCATTATTTGTCTTAAACTGGCCAACTTGGCCATTTTAAAGCCTATATTTTTACGAAAAAAGATCTCGGTTTGAAATATTTTTTTCACTTTGAGCACAAGGCAACAATATTTTTTGAATGATATCAAAAAAATTCTTCAAAAATGTCTAGTTTACAAATCGAAAAAAACACACCGAGCGTAAATATTCCGTCAATTTCTTCGACAGTCAAAACAACAAGACTGCTCGTATCAGAGCGAAAATCTAAAAGTTCCGACAGCCTTTTAAAGTCTATGAAGCAGTAATAACATGAAGAATTTAAACTTAGTCAAATAAAATTAAAATACTTTTCTTCAAAAAAAATTTGGAATTTTTGTGTAAGCATCACCCCACACGTCATTATAGGTACAAAAGGATAGATTTTGCTCCTATTTACAAATCAGTTCTGGCAAATAAGCTTCCTTGAACCAATTTGGAACGAGTTCTAACTTAACAAAAATTGCTCACAGGTAAAAAATATATTTTCGAATTTAAGCTCAGGGAAACAATATCTTTTGAATGACTTAGAAAAATTCCGTCAAAAATGGCTAGTTAAAATATTCCGTTACTTTCGTTACCAAAGTCGGAACAATAACGTCTTAGCAAATAAGTTGAGTGATTAGATAGCTATCGTCTCATTCTAGAAGACAATTTAGAACTGCCCTCATTTCCTTATATAAAATTGTTGTCTACACCTAAGCAGAAACTTAAACAGTAAAACGGACTTGTCTCAGTGGTCATTGACTCAACGCTTGAAATGATTTTCAACCAATTGAGTCTATCAAAGTTTTATAATTCGGCAGTTTGAAAAACGAATTTCATTAGAAATCAAAATGTGTAACTCTTTTTATTTTTTAATTTAATTTTTAATTCAATATTCATGTTCCATGAAATAAATTGTGCCATTCTTCAATTTGAAAAAAAGTTTTGAAAAATCAATATCAAGACAAAATAATTTTTTTTAAAACATTGTTTTTAAAACTTATAGTTGTTGATCGGTGCAAGGTAAAAAATAAAAGATTTGTTATGAAGATTTAACTGGGATCGAAAAACAGAAAAATCAGAAAAAACGTGTGAAATAAAAATTAAATTAATCAACAACAGAATTCGAGCGGGTTTCAGCCTCCTAACCCAACCATTTCAGCTGCTTCTTTAATTGAGTAAATAAACACTTCTTTTAACACTTACTATAAACCAGCAAAAATGACTTTTACCCATATATTGACATTGAAGACAAAAAATAAATTCAATTCCATGCACATTTTGGTGTGAAAAAAAATGTACTCACAGTAAAATACGAGGGTAGTTCGGACAAAACAAAAAAGCTGAAAAAATTGTGACTTATTGTTTCGATTAACGGTTAAACCGAGGAAATATGGCCAAGCTTTTGCTTGTTTTTCATGCAGAATCAGGTATCAGAATTGAATTAAAGATGAAGCATATAACGAATTAATGCCTTTCGATTGAGATTCATGTTCCATAACCTTTTTTTGGAAAATTTGTCACCACTATTGGGTGAAATGTCTTAAATAGTACACTTGCCTGACATTTTACTCGAAAAGTTGTCCCGTTTTGACTAATTTGACATTCCATTTCATTTCATATTGCTACTAATAAAAAAAATGAAGTTTAAGAAGTTTTTAAG